TGGAGTCCCAAAGCCTTAGAAATGGCTTTATAATGATACATGTCAACTATTTTGTTTCTCATCTGTTCTTGAATTTCTTTAGATCGCGGCATGATGTGTTGCTCTTTAACATGCTTCACTTCGTCAGACAGGTTCTGTTTAAGTGATTTCTTGATTCAACAGGTCTGGCAGTAATCAGGCCTGAGTGTGGCTAGTGAAATATAACTCAGCTTTCTAAAATGATGTGGATAATCACAGTTCTTTCATGATTTAACAGGAGGGGGCAATTAATTTTTCACGTAGTGCCAGGTAGGTTTGGACAGCTTTTTTTCCTTAATAACCTCCGTGAAGTTGGCCCCCCACCCAACGCAAAACGTCAGCAAAATAGTCTCAATCGTTTGTGCCCTTAAAAAAATGTGTTTCTGTTGCTTCGGTTTTTTAGATATTAAAATAATATTTAATGATCATTTTGAGGTCACTCAGCCCCCCACATGCTCCAAATTTACCCCAATAGTCTCGTTTGTTTGTGCTTCGTTTGTGCTGGTTTGTACCGGTAGGATTTTTGTTTTTACTGTCTTTTTTAACAATACAGTTGAAGTAATAAGGTAAAATTCAAACGGCAAACCAAATCACATGAAATAGTCGCAGTCACTTAATTGTTAGTAGCCATATTCGTCCAATTAGGCCAATTAAACGAAGAAAAAAAACTAGGCCTGTTTCATTACAAAACAAACAAAAATAAATAAATAAAAAATAAAGACTTGATATACATAGGCCTATTTTCATTTCTGCGCACAAATAAAACATGCAATAGCCTACTGTTTCCAGGTCCGTGTAGCCTATACTTTTGCGTCCATTCGTTTTTCATTTTTTAACCATGACGAAAAAAAAGGGTTGTTGTATTTTTAAATGCCATCCTGAAAACCAAATTTGAAATTAGAACCGTACACAAAATGCTGCTCGAAAAAATAAAATATAGATTTTTTATTTTTTTTATTTTTGTTTGACTTTTTGCACCTTTTAATAAACAATAGAAAAATTTGTGGGAGTATTATCGCGCTTACTATATGATATGGAGGCGCCCGCGCAATCTCTCTCATTTTTTTTTTACAGAACTTAGAATAGGCTACTCCGTCATTTTTGGATGTGCTTTCCTCATGCAGTCTCCGTGAATAACAACAATGAACCGGCTCACAGACACAAGAAATACATTTATAGAAATCTTGAAATGTCTACTATTAAACAAACCAATTCAAAAAAACAAAAAAAACAAATCTTCTCTAATTATGTGGTCCATATGAAAAGGTGCATTTCTTTATTAAAGGCACGTCCATTAGCCTACTGTGGGAGATGGCCATCAGCGTTGACTAATCTGTTGACTAGGAAAAAATCTTTAAAAACGACAGTACCGAAAACGAAAAGATTACCAGCACAAACGAAGCACAAACAAACGAGACTATTTGGGTAAATTTTGGAGCAGTGGGGGGCTGAGTGACCTCAGAAAATGACCAATAAATATTATTTGAATATCTTAAAAACCGAAGCAGCACAAACAGTTTTTTTTACGGCAAAAACCAGCACAAACAAACAAGACCATTTTTTGTGAATTTGGAGCATGTGGGGGGGTTGAGTGACGTCATTGCCTATAATTCAATGTCTAATATTTTAAAAACTGAAGCAGCACAAAAGAAAATATTACCGGTCCGGCACAAACGATTGAGCCTGTTTTGGGTGAATTTTCGTTTGTGCTGCTTCGGTTTTTAAAATATTAGACATTGAATTATAGGCGATGACGTCACCAGCCCCCCCACATGCTCCAAATTCACCCAAACCAACGAAATTCTTTATGGCACAAACCAGCACAAATGAAGCACAAACAAAGAAGATTATTTTGGGTGAATTTGGAGCATGTGGGGGGGGCTGGTGACGTCATCGCCTATAATTCGATTATCTAATATTTTAAAAACCGAAGCAGCACAAACGAAACTTTTACCTGCACAAACCAAGCAACAAACAAACAAGACTATTTGGGTAAATTTTGGAGCAGTGGGGGGCTGAGTGACCTCAGAAAAAGACCAATAAATATTATTTTAATATCTTAAAAACCGAAGCAGCACAGACGATTTTTTTACGGCACAAACGAAGCACAAACGATTGAGCCTGTTTTGGATGAATTTGGAGCATGTGGGGGGCTGAGTGACGTCATCGCCAATAATTCGATGTCTAATATTTTAAAAGCCAAAGCAGTACAAACGAAACTTTTAACTGTTTAACGATATTCACACACTCACTCACTCACTCACTCACTCACTCACATTCACACACACTCACACACTCACTCACTCACTCACTCACTCCACACACACTCACTCACTCACACACACACTCACTCACTCACTCACTCACTCACTCACTCACTCACACACACACTCTCTCTCTCTATCTCTCTCACACACACACACACACACACACACACACACATTCATGAACACGAGTGCAGCTTTATTCCCATCAGCAGAGCGGGCCGAGTGCAGGGGCTGATGGGAAGGTTCTGGCGGATGCAGTCATGCAGATGTTTTAGTTTGTGTGTTTTTCCCACGCTGAGCCACAAGCACACGTATGTCTCGTCTCTGATATCTGTGCTCTCTCATTCTGATGCAGCAGCATTGTGTGTGTGTGTGTGTGTGTGTGTGCAGGGATGCAGCCGGTGTTCTGGAGCCGTGAGGATGTGTGTCAGTGGCTGCGCTGGGCTGAGAGAGAGTGCGCTCTGCGGC